ACAAGTTGCTTATTTGGTGACTTTGGAAGTGGTGTATCATGCTGCACTTCTAGAGCTTGATTTTCAAACTCTTTTGTTTTCAATATTAGTCTTGCTTATCCTATAGGAGAACCTATAGGAAGTTCTGGAGCTGCTTGTGAAGCTGCTTGGGATAGTCGAGTGCAAGGCTCCGAGGGTGATCAGGGGCCTGGAACATCTGCCTTATGAGCAAAGGCTGAGGGAGCTGGGCCTGTTCAGCCTGAGGAAGAGGAGGCTGRGGGGGGACCTGATCAGYGTGTATAAATACCTCAAGGGAGGCAGTGAGGAGGAGGGGGTGGCCTCTTTTCAGTGGTGGCCAGTGACAGGACTAGAGGAAATGGCTACAAACTGAAGCACCAGAAGTTCTGCAGGAACTTAAGGAAAAAWTTCTTGACAGTGAGGGTGACAGAGCCCTGGCACAGGCTGCCCAGAGAGGTTGTGGAGTCTCCTTCTCTGGAGATCTTCCCAACCCGCCTGTRTGCTGCCTTGTGCCCCGCGCTCTGGGTGACCCTGCGTGAGCAGAGGGGGTTGGACTGGATGATCTCTAGAAGTCCCTTCCAACCTTAAGCATTCTGTGATTCTCCTACAGGAAAATAAGTTCAGGCCCTCTTGCTGCCACCCCTGAGCTGTCAGGCTGCAAAGCACCCGACAGATTAAGCAGCCCCCAGGTTTAAGCAGCCCTCCAGGCATCGACGGCCTTTCTTTGCCATCACTTTACCAAAAACCGGCTGGCAAAACCAATCACATCAACCCAAACTCCTCGCACACGGGGCAGAAAGCAGGACGTGCAGCACTGCAGACAGTCTCTCTAACAAAAACGGATCTTTTTCTCRGCATCACCAGGCCCCTTGCAAAGACAAGAAACCCGAGCAGCAGCAGCTGCTAATTCGGCGTGCTCCCGAGGCCAGGGCCTTGGCGAGCGGACGGAGCCGCTGCTGCTCGGGATGCCGGGATGCGAGACTCGGCTCCGCAGTGCAGTGGGACCGTCCTGCCCCACGTGCAGCATCCGCAGCCCCAAAACCCGCCCCGGGCCCCGCTGCACTCACAGCAAGCGGGGCTCGCTTCCCTGCAGTGTATTCCTACGCTCCCATTGAGAACAACGTTGCTTTATGACCGTGGATTCAGCTGTGCTCGCAGCCCTGCTTCATTTCTTCCGAGGCAAGTTCTTCGGGAGATTAACCTGACACATTTATTCCCCTGATAATATATCCTGTCCTCTCTGATATCATTACTGATTTCAAGTACATAGCAATAAACAGGCTCAATTTTCTTTTTTAAAAAGTAGTGACTTGAAAGGCTTTTTCTTCCTACATTTTCTCGGTACAACAGATTTCACTTCAAGAGGAACACTATAAAATTCAGGTCAAGTAAATATAAAATAAATTATTAAGTTTCTAATCAAAAGCTTTCAGACCTAAACCCTCTCTTTATTGGACTTGAAGAACTCGAGAGCGTGACTCTGTTCTAACTAGAGTTTAAGTTTTAAGCAGCTCCAAGTGGCAATCATTACTCTCCAGGAGTTCAACACATTATACTTCTATGACACCTTCTTCATGAGCACAGAAGACATTAGTGAAGATAAACTGGCTAGTTGGTAATTGAAATTAAAGGTGCAACATCTATTATCCTAACATGCACTGTGCTGCATCTCGGTAACACGCTGAAAATGAAATGGCTTTTTCTTATGAAACACCAGTCTCGATACCCACAGAGCCAAAACAAAAGGCAGTAAGAAAAGYAATGAAAACTACTTACACAAGACGAGCTTCCTTAAAAGTCTTTACACTGACAGTTTCCTACTACTAGTTTCCTACCAGATGCAGTAAGTGCAACTCCAGAATAAGTCCGGGAAATTTGTGTTTTTCTAAAACTCAAAAACTGTACAGAATTTATGGTAAGGAAAACTCCTCAGAAATACAGTTGCCTTCTGAAAGTAATGGTATCCTYTAAGAACACAGAGCCTTGCATGAGCCTTAAAATAATTATTATTTGAAAGTACTTTTTAATCAAAAGTTCAGGGAAAAAAAAGCGAGTAATCTAAGATTTCAAAATTTGGATTTTTAAATGAAAAATTATGCAGATAAATTCTACCGTCTTTGGAACCAAATAAAACTATATTAAACTTACATTAAATAATAAAGCTCTAYTAAGAGGGCCATTTACTGAAAGAATATGCAGTTTAAGCACGGTTCCTGAAACATGCTTAGCATTCCAGTGTTCATAAATCTGACAGAAATCAGCAACTCTTCCCAAAACTGCAAAATTTGCTTATCATTATATCATCAGTAAATAGAAGCAGTTTTCCTCCAAATAATGTAACTGCTTAAAACTCTAGCTGCTATTTTCTGCAACAAAAAAAAAAAAAAAGAAAAGAAAAAAAAAAAAGGAGAAGGAGAAAGAGAAGCACCCAGAAATTACTTCATGTCTGGCTGGGACAATCTCTTTCTTTAAAGATATTTCAGATCCTTTCCCTGGAAATAACTGTGCACTATACTACTTTTTTACCTCTATTTTAATCACCAAATCCCAGCACTCTTTTCCTTGTCTGTTGAACACACAGTAGTTTAGTTTTGGTCCCTTTTAATTGGGATTGGGACTCAATCAGTAGCTCTTTAAAACCTGGCTATTACTGAAATGCAGGACTGGACTGAAGCAAGGTGCTTCTGCAGTCAAATGCAGCTTACTTATCTTAAATAATTAAGATATATAAACATGCCGGACTGTAAATCACTATAAACCAAAACGGTTTGCAACATCTCAGCAGAAGCCTCCTGGATACAGATATATTATGTGCTCCATTCATTTTCTAATGAGCACCRTGCAGGGTTTGCATTATTATTAATTGCATATAAATTACCGTGAATTTTGTAGCGCTGGAGAAGTATTTAGCCATTCACCTCTCAGAGGAACAATGCTGAACAAAGGAAATGAAGGCACGGCATATAAGAACAATGCTGAACACAGAAATTTATGYGTGCCATTTAAAAGGCATGGCATTTAGACGACTAGCAAAAAGAAAATCAGAGGTATTTCATAAATCTTTAATTGTATGCAAAAAAAAAATTAAAAACCCCAYATTAATGGTTTCCTACATCCTTGATATTATTTAAGCAGAACACTGCCTATTTCTGGAGTGCAAATTCTCCCTAACCCACGTATCTGCATATATCTTGGAGAGTCTTGCTGCAAAATTTATTGTATCTGAGATCTGCTAATCATCATCAGAAAACTCTGCGGCGCATCTGGAGGACGTACTTTAGGCTCTCAAGGGGAAAAACAAACATCCTTTATTACCTGCTTTTGGCAAATACTGATTTGTATTTAGGCAGAAACCTTTTCAAGTTGCACCACGGTTAAATTAAATATTTACGGCACCTGTTGAGCGCTGACTTCAACACRAGCACCGCGGGGAGCCCTGGCAGAGGCAGCCGAGCAGCTCCGTGTGCCCCTCCTGGCTACAGGTGACGGGAGCCTCCCAGCCCCTGCTGCCCATCGCCCAGTTTCACTGCGGACAACTGAACTGGAGCCTTGGTTTATTACAAATACTGGAAATCTGACTGGTTTGGAGCGCTGGTAGTTAATCCTAATGCATCTTTGATCTCCTTTGCTAGCGAAAACACATGGGTTTGGGTCACTAGTGACTGTGAGGAGAAACACAGGGGACTGAAATCCTCAGTGAGCAAAGAACTGGCAGCTGGTGTTGGTAGGAAGCGTGAGAAGCTGCGGGAAGGTGAAGTTGTTTGSGTAAAACACAGACGAAAGAAAGAACAAGGGAAAAAATAAGTATGTTACATTATGAAAATCTGTCCCGGCGACAGCAAGGCTGCACGGGCAGTGCTCATTTTTGGCTTAGAAGAAGAATGCCACAAATCATGTCAAAACAAGGCATTTCTTGCCTGCACACGCTGGCTTTGCAGAGCTGCTGCRAGGCCTTCTTGGTCCGGGTGTCTCCATCCCTCATTCTGGCCAAACAGGCCCTCTCCCAGCCCCMAAATCCGCTTCCTTTAGGAGGAAAAGGGGCAGCTCTGCGGCAGCACCAGGACCAGAGCTCTGCATGGGGGAGACTGAGGCCTCCCAACCCCGCTCCGGCACCCGCGCTCCTTCCCTGCCTCCCACACACCACTCCAACATGGCACAGAGACACCAGCTAAATTCCTGCACGAAGAACCTGCGTGTCCTTGTGGCATCAGGCCTGCGCTCCTGGGAGCAAAAAGCTGCCTCTTGCAGGCAACAGCTACATCTATAGCATCCAAATACGAAATTCCTAGACACGGGGGCTGTTCAAGTCATCATCTGATGTGATTTCATAAGCTGAAGACTAATAAAACTGTTGAATACTGCAGATAGGACACATCAATCTCCCTGCACACTCCAGAGCACACTACAAATCTGCCCAGCAAGGCTGAATATTTTACTCATTAAAATAGTAGCTTTCATCACACTATAAAACATTTGCAAATGCAGACGAGAAAACCGACAAGCATATTTACTGTACAGCTTTATATTTGTGTCATCAATTAACAACAAAAGTTTGGAATACAACTAAAATAAAAGCTAATCAAAACAGCTAGCTGTCAAAACAGATGGGAACTATATTTTTCAAATCAAGCAAAAAGCCAAAGCTTTAGAACATTTAGTGTCATGTCAGTGAATGTAGACAACTTAGAAAGGAAGGACAACAAACGTCAGGGCTGTAAGAGAGAAAAGGAGTCCGTGGCTGAAAGATTCACATTTAGGAATTCCCACTCAGGGTTTTTTTCTGTGTTTTTTTTCCCTCTGTGATGATTTAACTCTAACGAAACAGCCCGCTCATGTGTGAGCTATAAATAAGGTTTCACCGCAGCGCTGCGGGCAAAATAAATAAAAACAGAGCCTCAACATTATTTTAGCCTCAAACAAATGTTTCAGTACCTACATCAGCTGGCTCAGGAAGATACATAGACAGTCGCACAGACAGAGATAGAAATGAACAATTGCAGTACCTTTTTCCCACACTGTTTACAGGGTTGGCTATATTCCTACTGGCAATAGATTTTCTTCTTGACAGCCTCTTGGTGTTGGTGCTGTCATCGGTGCTGTCATCCTCTTTCTTTGGTGTGTTGCTTCCTTTGCTGTTCAGGTCCCTTAGCACATTATAATTAATTTTACTTGAGATTTTCTTCTGTTCTAACATCTTTTCAATTGCTTCTCCTGCTGTGCTGGCTTGAATCGGCTCCCGCTTCTTTGCAGATTTCTTTGGCTTAATTAAAATATAAAATTAGTAATGTAGACACGAACAACAAATTCTGGAAACCAAAGGGCAAGGTGCAGCTCAGCAGTCCTGCTACAGGTGCTGCTGCCAGGGGGAYAAGGTGGGTGGTGAGCTTCACCTGAAGTCGGTGCCATCTGCCATGGGACATGAACAGGAGCAAGAGGTCTCTATTCTCCAAGAGATAAGTGCACCCCCTTGTATTTTTTTTTATTTTTATTTTTTATTACAAATTCTTTTACCTACATCAGTGTTTTGTATTTACACTGCCAGAAAGGAAAGAGGGGCCATTTCTCACATGTGAGGAAAAAAAAAAAAGGAATGTGCTCCTGCTACAGGAACTGGGATCCTGATAAAACCACTCCGTGGGTAAAGAAAGAAATTCCCCCACTAGAATTGCCTTCAAAATTACAGTCAAGATGCATTAGCATCCCATCTCCTCTRAAGCTGTATGAAAACTACAACAGTATTTTAGATGAAGCCTGAAAGCTGCAAGTGAGAAGCTTCACCCAGCTGTTCCTCCTGAAAAGGCCAAGAACATCAGATGCAGCTTTATAAGCCTGACCTGGCATTAATGCTGAGGGGTAAGAAACAGGATGCTGCAGATGCACCCCAAGTGCAGAAGTGATGTCACCTGCACCTTCCCATCTTGGCCAAGTGTCACAAGCTCAAGTCTAGCATTAAGCTTGGCCGTTTGATGTTGCTCCAATTGAGGCAAAGAGATGACACTGGAGAACATTTCTATCCATGTCTCATGCCTGGGTAGGTAGACAGAAAAGATCCTCTGTTTCTCACTCGGCATTTGCCTTTTCAAAAGAAGGTTTTAACACCAAGCTCTGCAGGAGATTTATTTCCTAATGTATAATAGCCCCTCTGTTTACCTACATGGGTCAAGTGCTACCTTGAAATTGGAAGGCACTATATTAATCAAGTTCTACTCCAGCTGTCAGAAACAATACAGAGTTACAGAAAAACTCCTGTGTTGTCAGAACAAAAAGGTGGGTGTCTGGGCTACTTTTCTGTGCCAAAGAGTTATACAATTTGGAAAAGTGCTGGTAGAATGCCATGCCTCTGTAAGTGCAGGATGAATGAGGAACTCTGAGGCATAAAACAGTAGCTCATTGTCTGGTTTTGTTTTTATTGTTGAAATACCTGGGGGAGGAAGGAAACCCTGTCTTTCACATTAGTCCAAAAAAAAAAAAAAAAAAAAAAGGATATAGGATATACACACTAAAAGCTAACATGGATTTTTAGTTGCATGTGGAAGATTGTGCACAGATTTGACTTGTCACTTGCTCAATTACACAAAATACTAATGCTGTAAATTGCAAATATGTGGCCAATTAGGCTGCTTTAAATTGCTCAACATGGGGACAGGATATGCCATTTGCTAACATAAATGTCACCTTCTTCATGAAAGGTAGAACAAAATATTCCTTCAAGTTACTGTAACAAAGATGTKCTCAGTTCTTCAGAAAGGAATTATTGTAACAGGCCAGAGAACTACTTACTGAAGTTACAGCAAGTACAAACAAATTCCATATACACTTGCTAAAAAAAAAAGGGCATGTCTTAAGGATTATATTTAAATAAGCAAGCAATTAGGATAGTAATCATAAATGCAGTGAATTAGCTCTGAATTTGCAGTGCAAAGCATTTTCTCATAATTGTCAATTAAAAAAAAAAAGTTCAGGCAAGAAGAAAGTGTTTTACTCACCACCTGAAAACTTAGAGCCTTGCATTTCAATAACATGTAGACATATAATACATTTTGCTTGTTAAGTGGTGACCTGAACCATTATCCCCATACATCCTACATGCAGGTGATCAACAAATGGAATAAATTTCCCGGACATTTTCAAACAAACACAATTAGTACACAGTTTTTTATACCTTGTGCTCTTTATAAATCCCAAGTTCTTTTTCTTTTGCTATTCTCGCTTCTTTTTCTGCAAGATGACAAAAGGGTAACCAGCATGAAGATTACATACACTGCACGTTTCAGCAACACTGGCCAAAAGGAGTTAGGAATTATAGGAATTTCAATCCTATATAACTTACCTTTTTGTTCCTTCAAATAATCTGCATTTTCTTTCATCCACAGCTCTGCTTTTATCTGAGCTTCTGTTTCATTAAGTATATACTAAAAGGCAAAACAAAGTTCATCTACATTCAGAAATCAACTTGAAAACCATAGGAAAAGAAAAAAAAAAGAGATTTTTTTCTGGCAAGGGCTACTCGTGCTCTGTTTTTAAAAATACACTAACAAAAGAAAATACAACCACGAGGCAAGAATCAGATCACTTCTCCTAACTTTTGAAGCTGGCAGAARTAAGGACAGGTTTTTAAAAATGGTATTAGCGAGTGGTTTCCAGACTTTGATGGGGTGACCAATGCAACACCCCAGGACTCACTGTAAGTGCTCCATAATTAACCTACAGAGCAAACCCGTTTCCATGATCTTTTTCAGATGATATGGGGACTACCATGGCAACGAAGTGTCTGCAAGTAATTCTGTGTATTGATGGTGGTCTGTAATTCAAAACAGTATGGAAACCATTGCTCTGTGATACCAAAACAGAAACATGTGTCTTCTGGTTAGGTTTCTGTGAAGGTTTAGGCACAGTTATTAAGATTATTAGTTCACTGCCACATCTGTGTGGAGGAACTTGGTTTAGTTTGTTGGTATGTTAGTCCTTCAGCTTTGGGGGAGCTGGGTTCAGTGTCTGTATCTCAGTTTCTTCAGTTATTTCCATTTTGTCTCAGTAACATCATTAGTATGTGTGGAACTGAAAAGGACACCTAGAACTAGTCAGATAAATTACAGACAGAATGACAGGCAGGAAAAAGGAGGGAGGGAGGCTGGGTGGGAGGAAGGAAGGAAGGGAAGGGATCTCCTTCTTCAATTACTTAAGTATAAAATTCAAGGCAGTGTTTAGCCCAAGTGTCTGTGAAGCAAAGGTTCCCTAATTCTGATGCACTTTGGGCATGTGGAACTTTTGCAGGATGCAGAAGACAAATTGGATCATCCTTCCTAAACAAGACACTGCAACTTCATGGAGCTGACCCAAAACTTGCGATATTTTAAGTGCTAGCAGAACAATCCGACATTTCTACATTTTATGTTTTAGCCTTGCAGATTTTCTCCAAACTAAAAGATGCCCCTCAGGATTTTATGAGAAAAATTGCTCTAAGGAAATGGAGGCAGCGCAGGGAGGAGCCCTGCCCATCAGGACAAACGAAGCAAACAAAACCATGGAGCTACCGCTGCTTTATCAGACCAATATTTTCACTGCTTCATCTGCTTCTATTAAAGGCAAGTCATAACAGTAAAAACTCGTTTCCTCACAGCTCCCTTATTCATCCTTCTTACACTTTTAGAGAGTTCATAATCTTGGGCTCACAATATTACAGTCTACAGCCATGGAAATGAACGTGAGATCATAAAAGCAGAGTTATGACCTCACTGCGGTGGGCAGAAGGAGACGAGAATCTGTTTGCTCTTTCCCAGCTTTTGTTTAAATTATGGACCTGCTGTATGGAATAGCAGGTCTCCCATTTACACTCTCCTTCCCACCTCCGTATCCATATGACTCCATGGACTTTTCCTAACTGCTGTCCTAACAAATCCACTTTCACTGATGAAAGCTCCCAAGCTGAGTTTTCTCCTACTCGTTCACTCACCACCAACAATATTCTGCAGATCAGCTTAAATTCTTAGCATTATCTCTGTCAAGACTAAGTATTCCTAAAGGAGGTGGTAGCATTAGCATGATTTCCCTTCAAAGCAGCGTGCTGAACTGGAGAGCAGCTGGCCTCTGTCTGGTGTTCAAGCGGTGACCTGCTGGGCGACCTTCAATAAGTCGTTTTCCACAGCTGTCTGTCACCTATATGTGGGCCATACAGTAAAGGATGTCACTGGCTGCCACACAAATAATAATAAATAGAGAAAATGCTACAGAAACCTCAGAATGACAGAGGCTGTGCAGGCTGCTTCTGCAGTTCGGTTTCCATGGCAGCATCTTGTGGTGAGGATGTCTTAATTAAATAATAAATTTAAAGCTACCAAAAAAAAAAAAAACTTCTAAAAGTCCTTAAGGATGTTCTAAAACAGTTATTCCAGCAGCAACAGCCCTTATGCACAAAATGGGCCAGGAACTGGCTGAATTCAGGGCCCTGCATGATGATTCACAGTGAATCCCAAGCACCAAAAGCTCCTGAGGCTCCAGGTACAGGGAAAGGGAGCGGCTGGGCGGAGGGGCAGGGAGGGGAGAGGAAGGCCGGGAAAGGAGCCATCCTCCTTGGGCACGGGCAGGGTGAGGGGCGCCGGCTCTTACCCTATCTATTTCACTGTCGTCGATTCCGCTGAGATCTAGCTCGCCGTCGCCCGCGCTGTCACCTGCACGGGGAGAGAACACAGGGCATGAGCGGGGAGCGGCGCCCGAGCAGCGCCCCGCGGGGCTCCCGCGCGGCGCTCCCCGCGCCCGGGCCGGCCACAACGTGCCAGTCTGCAAGGAACTGGCCTCAATCGGCTGGGCATTTCCACGAGCCGCCACTGTGAAGCCGGGGAAGCCACTTGCACAGAACCACAGGATGGTTGAGGACGGAAGGAGCCTCTAGAGATCATCTAGTCCAAACCCCTGCTCCAGCAGGGACACCCAGAGCACGGGGCACAGGGCGGCATCCAGGTGGGTTGGGAAGATCTCCAGAGAAGGAGACTCCACAACAGCCTCCCTGGGCAGCCTGTGCCAGGGCTCGGGCACCCTCACGGGGAAGAAGTTCCTCCTCACGTGGAGATGGAACTGTCTGGGTTTCAACTTACACCCACTGCCCCTTGTCCTGTCACTGGCCACCACTGAGAAGAGCGTGGCCCCTTCCTCCCTACATTCACCCCTCAGGTATTTATACATTATATATCCATTCATATATATGTCCATTATATACCCATTATACATATACACATCCATTATATACACATTATACATCCATTTTAGGGAGATGACACCATTTTTCTTCTGTGGGAGCATGAATTTTTCTGTCGGAGACCGTAGGTCAAGAAGTTGTCTGTAAATTATGACTTAGAAAATATTTTGGTTAGCAGGGAAGCAGCGTGGACCAGGGAACACTACATCACCCAGACAGTCCTCCTATGGCTTTAATCTTGATGCTGACTTATCATCTGATTTTTTGAAACCCCTTAACCCACATCAATTCTGTAAAAGAGGTGTATATTATTTGGAAAATTATTATTATTATCTCGAAAGTGGGAAWTATTAAAACATTTCCAAATTTCAAAATAACTTTTAAATGGTCAATATAAATTATCAACATGAACACGTTTTCCTTGGTTACAATTTTACTCCATAGTTTTATATTAATTAAGATTTCTGAAAACAGAAGTTTTCTTATTCTAGCCATTGAAAAGCGCAACAGCACAAAACTGAGGCCTAATTAAGTACTTGCATAATTTACAGCATCAAAAACTAGTTTTCCACATCATATTAATGTACAGTGGTAATGAACTCAAAGTCGTCCAGGTAGAGAAGAAAATAAATTATTCAAGGAAAACTTATTCCGAGGAAGGAAGCAACCTGGTCATCTTCAGTCCATTCAAACAGGACTGGGCAACAAATGATCAGTTTGCTTGCAGGAAAAAAATAAATGAATAAAACAGGGTTAAGTTTGAATAATCTGCCAACTGAAAAATAAAGTGCTGCAGCTTGGCACCTTCATTGCTGCTGTTCCCCATTTGTGCTTACACRTCTCCCCATTCCTCAAGGCCTCTCAACAGCCTGGGTCTCCCAATTTCTCTTTTTTTCCCCAAATGCAGAGCTAGCAATAAGGGTGCCCCGATGGTGCATGGCCTCGATCCCATGGCAGCTTTTGGGATGCATGGCCTTGAGTTTTGAGCGGAAACCRGCCAAGGTAGGAAACAGGAGCGTTCCCACCGAGTCCTCTCTCTGACTAAACTCAAACGYTTAAAGTGGTTGCCCAAAGCATGGGAACCAGGACATTACACATGCATGGAAAAAAGGAGTAAATACTGCAGGGAGGTGACCCAGATGCCCTTCCCAGAGACTGCAAACCTGGATCCATGGAAAGTTTCATTCCTTGCACAAAATACAACAGCTCAAAAGCAGAGTGTGCCCAAGCCAGAATAACTTATCTCCTGGTCTGAGGGTATTTGTGCAGAAATGGGACTAAAGCAGGGTCTCCTGTAGGCTGGGAAGAACTTTCCCCACTGCACTGACGCACAAAAAGGAGCTTGTCTCCCCCTCTTCATTTCGTCTGCCCCTCTTGTCTCTCAAGATTTTTGGGAAAACATAAAACCTTTCAGTTTGGGTTATCCAAATCAAGAAAGGGATTTTTTTTCCCTCACCTTCAGTGGATAAACAAAAATATAAAAGATTTACATAGGCTTGGAATGGAGGAAAAAGAAAAAGGGAACCATCCTCAAGATCACCAGCAGGTTTTTAAAATCTCAGGCTAGAAAATCAAAATTTGGTGTCTGCATTGGAGAACCATTCTGGACCCAAGTCATAGCTCAGCTTAACATAAAATCCTGCACATCCCCAAATCATTTGTTGTAAAACCTGCCAGAKCATCTTACGAATAATAAAAATGCCCCCACTGAAATCAGTCTGCAATGAGTTTTCTTCATCATTAAGTGCCTCACTTCTCCTATACACTGCTATATTTTTGGATCAGAGATTTGAAGTTTAATATGTCACAGTACAGTAGATGTCTGTTTCCTTACAGACCCAGACTGAAAATGATGTCATTTCAAGCAGTAGGCACAATTTCACGTGTAATTTTAAATAGAACTTGTTACTGAATTAGGTGCCAGCTTTTCTCATTGGATCAATTAGTTACAGGGACGGAAAACTCATTTGCCAACTGGTAAACTGCAGAGAAGACTCCAGAAGCAGGTTACACATAAAAAGCATTTCTTGGACCTCGAAATATCCATACTGAGAGCACTGGCAGGGTATCCACTCAGTCTGCAAGCAGTCCTTTTTGCTGCCAACTTAATAGATATACATTAAATTCAAGAAGTTTTTTGGAAAAGAAGTTTTCAAATCCTAGGATAACACTTCTATCAAAAAAAAAAAAAAAAAGAAACACTAAGTTTTGGTACAGGATGGTAATTCAGAAATGAACCCATCCATCTTGATCTAAAGCTTTTCAGAGCCATCACATCCAGCCTGAGGAGACCTCGTGCCGGGGCACACAAAACATGCCCCTTCACTTTTTACGTGCCACAAAGATCTTCCCAGCTGCTAAACTTTTTGAAACAATTTCTAAATGATCATTTTCTCCTTTAATAAAAGGTTTGAAATGAAAATTTCAATGAAATGAAAACACAGATGTGGCCGACATCTGGTCCAACCTCTTAAAAGCTTATTTAAAAGCACCAGGGTCAAGTGACACGGCTCTCCTACACCGCAGATTTCTTCAGTTAAGAAAAAGGACGACTTTATTGCAGGGCACGGACTGAAAAATAAGTAAGTTCTACATTAAAAACAACAAAACCCCCGAATCCATTTCAGACTAGAGAAAAGAGGCAGCCTGTTCCTCACTCACCTCATTTCTCTAGTGCAGCCGGAGGAGGACGGCTGCTTCCCGAGCTTTCAGTCAAGGTCCTGGATCGGTTACGTTCCTGTAACTCAACACTGTCACCCCGCCAGCTCCCACAATATTTAAAAACACAAAGCAAAAAAGAAAGCCCTTTATTAACCGCCTTTAACGTCTTTGCCAGGCAGCTTTAACAGATGCGAGGGCTACACACAGACGTTCTGGATTGGGTTTGTAAACCTGCAGGATTATTTACTGTTCCCGTCATTACCGAGTGCTCACTAAAGCCTCTCTGAATACACTGCCTCCCCCTCTCTCCACCTCTGTGTATCTAGTTAAATGTATACGCAGCATGATATTACAGGGATTTATTGCAAAAGAATAATTCTAGCTGATGTGTTTTAAAAACCCACATTTTAAAAAAACAGACGTTTCAGGAATGTGTTTTTCTCTTTCTATTGCAGGAGGCAGAACTATTTATTGCGCTGCCCAGATAAGAGGATTTCCTTACAGACAGCAATGAGGGCTGAACACTTCTCAGGAAATCCTCTGCAGCTTATATAATAGGAGGCACCCGGTTCTCTTGTCCCATGCAGCACATACCTCCTCGCCCCATCATTTCTGAGCAGTCAGAGAGCTGGGCCAGTTCAAACAAAGGGCTCTTCTACCTATTCCCCATGATGCTGGAAAACAAGAGCTCGGAGCCTTCCGAAACACTYTGGGGCCAGACCATGGCAAAATATAAAAATAGCCAGGAGGGGTATTTCTATCAAGAAAAACGCATAAACAACAAACCAGAGGCCTGACTCCTGAGCACAGGCATCAGAAACTGTAGGATTCATTATTGCTCCCAAGGGAGGGACTAAAACATCCTGCAGATGATCTGAGGYACCCAGATGAGAGGCGCTGGTGCCACTTCAGAGCTGAAACCCTGCAGTCCTCGCTCTGTGGCTGCTGAAGGCTCGGATGTCCCCAGTCTCCTCGGACAATGTCATCCTGGGCCTTTGGTACAAGAGCAGACCCCAAACGAAAAGCAAAACCTAAGGATGGAGTAAAACTAAACACGTGTCACAAAAATACACGAGTGGCATTTTCATACTGCYGGGAAGATGCTTGGTTTTGTGTCCTATATCTAACTGAGCCCCCCTTGGAAATCACAGCCTGCTCCTTCACAGCACCAACCCGACGGCAGAATTTCGCTCTGAGTGACTGCGGAGCACACGAGGCCCTGCACACAGCAGAGAGAAATGAAACCTGCCMCATTATTAATTCCTTCTGCCCGGGCCAGATTAGGGGGTCCCTGTGGCTGAAGCCAGTGGCGGCTTCAGTGGCGGCGCCAGGTTTAGGCCTTTCCACAAACAGGGATTCTCACTTCCCCGCTCCTGTTTGGCGCCAACGGGGCCTCCTCAGAGCGCGCCCAGGAGCAAGAGGCCTCCTCACAAGGCCTCACAAACACACATCTCAGTTTCAAAATGAAAAAAAATGCTGGTTTTCTGGTCCCTCCTACCAAAAATAAAAATTCTCTTGTTTCATCTCACATTCCATGAAGGACCTGAGCAAACTTCACATATGCATTTTGCATTCAGGTAAAGGTTAGGCCCCCTGCTTGGCAGACACGCAAATTTGTGAGCTTGGAAACTAATTACAGAAAGAGTTAATTATTCCGTTTCTTCCRAAAGTTTCCCCAGATACATATACTTCAAAGCAGGTAGAGGGAGAATGATCCGGTAATAAAAAGTGCTCTCTGATTCTAAGATTTTTTTTCAGAAAAGGTAAGCTCATGCTTATTGAACTGCACAGTAAAAAAAAAAATAAAGAAAAAAA